GAAATTGCATAAATTTTTTAAAAATTGAGAATTTATCTTTGAGAGTTGATGAGTCTGGACGTTTACTATTTACTTTTAATAAATACATTTTTATTAGTGTAATTATTTAACTAAAAAGGTTATAAATTAAGAGTAAAAGATAAACAGTGTAATTATTTGCTTCTTGTTGTGTCACATTCTATGACTTTCCATGAAGGACTAGTCTTTCTTCATTGCTAACCATAGCGAGTTCAAATTTGCGGTCTCATTTTCCTATCTCATTATGGTTAAAATTCTCCTATTTATTTATTATTTGAAGATATTCTTTTTTTTTGTTTTTGTTTTAGGGATAAACACGATACTTTTCTGTTGATTGAATGAGAATCTTCTTTCAAAATAAAAATGAGAAAAGGAAAAAACATGTGTAAGTCTTTTGTCAAAGTCTTCTCTCGTCTACGAAACAACAAAAAAAGATATATACATATATATAAATATATGGACGAATTTTTAATGAATACGTTTCCATCAGTACTTAATAACACGATATTTTTCTATTGACTAAATGTGAGTCTTCATTCAAAATAAAAATGAGAAAAAGAAAGAAACAAGTCTTTCTGCGAAGTCTTCTCTCATAAATTCTACGAAACAGGAAGAAAGATGGGGAGAAGACTAAGACATTAAACATCTCATCACATGGGGAGGAAAGTTTGACTTGTAAGCATTGCTGAAGGTTTCTTGCATTGTTGGGAGGCCTCGTTCACTTCGCTGATTCGAGTTTAGAATTCGAGTTTTTCTACAGTAAAAAGCTCTCACAAACAATCACATCTAACTTTTTTGCTACAATAAAAAGCTCTCACATAAAATCACATGTCAACTCGAATTCTAAACTCGAATCAGCGAAGTGAACGGGGCTGAGTCACCTACTATTTTCCAGCTAAATTAATGAAGAAAATGATGGTCAATATTGGGAGGAGCTACGGAAAAAGTTAAGACATTATTGAATATTCTGAAAGATGAAACAAATCTTTCAAAAATAGAAAACACATGAAGAGAAAAATCAGAGGAAAGTTTGACTTGTAAGCATTGCTGAAGGTAAAATGTTACACCAAGATCTTACAGAAACTGTATTCTGAACTGTTCTACTTTATTAGTTCCTAGCTAATTTAATTACTCTACCTCACTTATCATGAATAAAGATAAATAGAAAGGAAGACTGCGATAATATTTCAAAGGAGATGCCCCAAAAATTAATATTTCTACAAAGATGACTTAACACAATCCTACCCTATCCACCATTTTTGTCAAGGAAAATGATCGTCATTCGTCCAACCAGATTTATAACTTGTGCGTGGAAAATAATGGATGACAATTGACAAGGTATATATGGAGATTTCTATGGTAGACTTAAAAAAATAAATATCGGTAAGTCTCTGCTTTTTAGTTATTAAATATGTAATTCGAACTGTTATGCATTTTTTTTTTTTTTTTTTTTTTTATAATTTGATTTGATTGTCAGAAAATGCACTTCTCGCGTGAGGCTCTACCGTTCCTATCTATATACTACACTAAAAATTCTCATGGGGGTGGGGGACTGTTGATCGAATGCAAGTCTTCTTGGAAATAAAAGTGATAAAAGGACAGAAATTGTGGAAGTCTTGCTTCAAAGTCTTCACCTCCGATGAAAGATGGGGAGAATACTAAGACCTTTAACACCACATCATAAGTTGCTACAAAAAAAAAAAAAAAAAAAAAAAAAAAAAAAAAAAAAAAAAAAAGAAAAAATCAGATTATAAGTGTCATCATAAAAGTCTTACAATTAAAAAAAATAACGGGTCACAAGGTTGACGTGTGTATATATATTACACGTATTCGGTACATGTGTATACTTGTGTTCATACACTTGCATGTATAGCTAGCTAGATAAGATTACCGTCAAACATGCATGACATTTTTCTTAAAATGTTATTTTAATTTCATTTAATAACGTAGTAGCTAATATTGGTTTTACATACTTTTTTTAATGTAATTTTAATCGGAAGTAATGTTAAGAAACATGTATAATCGTTAGCCTTTACCATATAATTAAAGACTCTTTATTTAGATGATGAGATGTTTTTCGGTGGACTAAAAAAAAAAAAAAAAAAAAAAGCCATTAGAACAAAAAGAAAAGATCATCACATGATAAGTGTTGTTACAAAAGTCTTCCTTTAAAGTAAATGCATCACTAGGTTGACGCATATATTAAATTATGCAGAAATCAAGTCATCACACTTTCTTTATCTTGCACAAAGTTAAAGTTTAGATACAACCAGTAAAAATAAGAAATTAGATAAATTTTTGAAAAATGGTGAATTTATTTTTAAGAGTATATGAGTCTGGACTTTAACCTTTTACTTTTGATAAATGCTCTTTATTAGTGTAATTATTTGACTAAAAATGTTATGAATCAAAAGTAAAAAATAAATAGTGTAATTATTTACTTCTTGCTGTGTCACATTCTATGACTTTCCATGAAGGACTAGTCTTTCTTCATTGCAAATCACAGCGAGTTCAAATTTGCAGTCTCATTTTCCTATCTCATTATGGTTAAAATTCTTATATTTACTTATTATTTGAAGATTTTTTTTGTTTTTTGTTTTTGTTTTTGTTTTAAGGATAAACACGATATTTCTCTGTTGATTGAATGTGAATCTTCTTTCAAAATGAAAATGAGAAAAGGAACGAAACTATGCAAGTCTTTTGTCAAAATCTTCTCTTGTAAACTCTACGAAACAAAAAAAAAAAAAGATATATACACAAATATATAAATATATAGATGAGTTTTTAATGACTATATTTTCATCCGTGATTAATGGCACAATATTTTGATGTTGACTAAATGTGAGTTTTCATTTGAAATAAAAATAAGAAAAAGAAAGAAACAAGTCTTTTTGTTGGTAAGATGTTTTTGGGTGGAATAAAAAAAAACCATTAGAACAAAACGAAAAGACCGTCACATGATAAGTGTTATTAAAAAGTCTTCCTTTAAAGTAAGTACATCACTAGGTTGACGTATATATTAAATTATATAGAAATCAAGTCATCACACTTTCTATCTTGCACAAAATTAGATACAACAAGTAAAAACAAGAAATTGCATAAATTTTTAAAAAATGGAGAATTCACCTTTGAGAGTTGATGAGTCTTGATCTTGATCTTTTACTCTTGATAAATACAGTGTAATTATTTAATTAAAAAAGTTATAAATCAAGAGTAAAAAGTAAATGCTGTAATTATTTGCTTCTTGTTGTGTCACATTCTATGACTTTCCATGAAGGACTAGTCTTTCTTCATTGCTAACCACATCGAGTTCAAATTTGCGGTTTTATTTTCCTATCTCACTATGGTTAAAATCCTCCTATTTATTTATTATTTGAAGATTTTCTTTTTTGTTTTTGTTTTAAGGATAAACACGATACTTCTTTGTTGATTGAATGTGAATCTTCTTTCAAAATAAAAATGGGAAAATGAAAGAAATTGTGCAAGTCTTTTGTCAAAGTCTTCTCTCGTAAACTCTACGAAACAACAAAAAAAGATATATATATATATGTAAATATATAGACGAGTCTTTAATGATTATGTTTCTATCAGTATTACGATATTTTTATGTTGGCTAAATGTGAATATTCTTTCGTAACAAAAATGAGAAAGAAAAGAAACTAAGTGGACATTTGATTTATGGATTCAGAATCATTCTCATTTTACGTGTGTTTTTGTGAGAGAAAAATACTGTAGAGAATCATGAATCATGATTCAGAATCAGAGATAAATACAGAAAATAAACGTCTCTTTAAGTCTTTCCGCAAAGTATTCTCTCATAAATTCTATGAAGCAGGAAGGAAGAAAGATGGGGAGAAGACTAAAGACATTAAACATCTCATCACAAGTGTTATGACAAAAGTCTTCCCGTAAAATAAATAATGAATGACATTTGACAAGGTATATATGGAGATCTCTATGGTATACTTGAAAAAATGACTATTGATAAGTCTCTGCGTTTTAGTTATTAAATCTGTAATACGAACTGTTATGCATATTTTTTTATTATGATTTGATTTGATTGTCAGATTGTGCACTATCCACATGAAACTCTACCGTTCCTATCTATATACTACAGTAAAAATTCTTAGGTGGTGGGGGATTGTTGATCGAATGCAAGTCTTCTTGGAAATAAAAATGATAAAAGGACAGAAATTGTGGAAGTCTTGCTCCAAAGTCTTCACTCGTTAACTCCACGCAACAATGATGAAAGATAGGGAGAGTACTTAAGATCTTAAACATCACATCATAAGCTGTTACCAAAAAAAAAAAAAAACAGATCATAAGTGTCACCATTAAAAAAAATAACGGGTTACAAGGTTGACGTGTGTATATATATACATGTATTCGGTACATGTATATTTGTGTTCATACACTTGAATATATATCTAGCTAGATAAGATTACCGTCAAACATGCCTACATTTTTCAAAAAGTGTTATTGTAATTTCATTTAATAACTTAGTGGTCAAATCTGTGTCAACTAATATTGGTTTTACATACTTTTTTTTCTTTTTTCTTTTAACTTCATTTAATACTGTATTAACTGATATTAGTTTTGTAATTTTGATCGGATATAATTTTAAGAAACATGTATTATCGTTAGCCTCTATCATAGAATTAAAGACTCTTTATTTCGATGGTGAGATGTTTTTCGGTGGGAAAAAAAGGCCATTAGAATAAAAAGAAAAGACCATCACATGATAAGTGTTGTTACAAAAGTAATGAAGAATTTATCTTTGTGAGTGCACGGGTCTGGACCTTTACTCCTCATTCTTGAAAAAAAAATCCTATTGTTAGTGTAACTATTTGACTAGAAAAATTATGAATCAGAATAAATGATAAAAATTCCGACTCATGCATTTTGAGAAGGTATTAAATTGCCGTAATTTTTATGAGATTTTTAGGGCGGAATATGAAAACTACTTTATCAATGGTGTTCTCTTTTAAAGTTTAAACCATAAAATCTGCATAAGATTCTATTAAATTTACATACTTTTTCATTGTGATCAGAGCTATTGAGAAACATGTAAAATGGTAGAGTATGTAAAAAAGATCCATATTTTCAATACATGAAATAGCTTAAACACACACATCATGAAGCTAAATGGGGAAGCTCCGGGGATGGAGGTATTGGAATGTCCATTGCACCTTCCAACATCAAGATAACATTTTTCATCAAAGGACGCAAAGCTGGATCATCTTGAACGCACCAAAGGCCCACTTTCACCATCCTTTCTAGTGTTGTTACGTCAACTTGTTCATCATGATCTTCCACAAGTTTGTTAAGTTCTCCAGCGACAAAACAGTGATAGACCCAACTAGAAAGAATTATTTCATCCCCCGTCGAAACATTCAGTTCTATGTTTCTTCTGCAACACACAGTCTCCAATAACACAATACCAAAACTGTAAATGTCAGCTTTAACTGAAATCAAGGCATTCTTTTGCCATTCAGGAGCAAAATACCCAATGGATGTGCCATCAACTTCCGTGGACAATTTTGCTTGATTAGGCATCAATAGCCGGGCGAAACCGAAATCGGAGATCTTTGCGGTCCATGTATCATCTAGTAGTATATTTTGAGGTTTCAAGTTGCAGTGTATCACATGGACTCCACACTCTTCATGTAAATAGAAGACTCCTCTAGCAACATCTAGTATGAACCTTACTCTTTCTCTCCAAGCAGGGCGCGGAATTCGCTTAAAGAGAAGATCCGCAAGTGAGCCATTGCTCATCAATTCATAAACAAGAAGCTTTCTGGAGCCTTGAATGCAGAAACCAATCAACTGAACTAAGTTTCTGTGATGAGTTCTTCCAATGGTGGCCATTTCAGCTCGAAACTCTCTTATTCCTTCTTCCACAACTTTCTCTAGTCTTTTCACTGCGACGGCTTTGTTGCTCCCTGCAGATAATACTAAAGTCCCTTTATAAACTGCTCCAAAACTTCCTCTTCCCAGCTCTTCCTTGAACCCATCAGTCGCTCTCTCAAGCTCGTCGTAAGAAAACGATTGCAGAGTGAAATCTTCGGCCAGTCCCACATTGGAATCCAACAGTTTCTTATACCTATGAGCTCGGTGCTTATAAACAACGAAACTCGATAAAGCGAAGACAAAACACAAGAATGCAACAGAGCCTAAACTTGATGCCAGAACCAATATTGGAGCATTCTTACTTCTAACCGAGATCTCCGGATTTACTCGATCTGGAGGAGAGACATGAGTTGGAGTATTAGAGTTTTCCAAGACCACTTTGAAGAAAGCCATAGGCGTGATGTCTTCGATTCTCTTGCCATACTTAAGTGGAAGTTTATATTTCCTACACTCATTAGCACTTGTGTACACTGCCCAACAATTACAGTCATCAAGACAGGACTTGCAACAAAGTTCTTCCTTCAATGGAAGAACTGAATAAGGATAGTTAATCCACGACACATTCTCTAAAGGACCAGTAATATTATACCTCGTGATCGATTCTGAGGCTTCATTTTCTCTACAATTATGACCTTCATCGAAATTCTGATAACACCCGAGAGATTTCGAATTGGGGTCAACGAAATCAAACCCGGGAAAACAACGACAGCTTGCTTCCTTTCCCTCCAAAGCACAGAAACTGTTGAAGCCACAGAAACCTTTGACATCGCATTTGTTCTCCAAAGCCAACCACTTGACCACAACTCTTGAGCTTTTGTTGCTCCAAAAATAATGCGAGTACAATCTGAAAATCCCGTCATCACCAAGCGTTGCCCGGTGGATAATCGCATGACTCTCATTTTTCTGTTCTGCAGAGCTTCCATCAGCCAAAATGCGTTGTTGAGACAAACGTCCGAAATCTGTACCTCTAACTTGCAGATATAAGAAGCCCGTGCGGTTAAGATAGAGATCTGATTTATAACCATAAAACCCAGAAGCCCAATAACTCTCTTCTGAAGCATATGAACTGTTTAAAGGGTACGCAACAAGGTTTCCATCTTCTTGCATACCGAGCAAAAATCTCCCACTTGAATGGTCTGAAACGGACTTACTGGACACCAAATTTTTCCCAGAAGTGAGATTTTGGCCCCCCAAAATGGTGTCGGTCGGAAAATGAAAGCTTTCCCAGATAACACGAGAATTATTGTCGTATAACACAAAGTTACCGGAATTAAGCATGGAAGCTGAGCTTGCTGGGCCTGACGTCGTAGCAATGATTACTTGCTCTCTGCGTTGGTTTTTTTCATCAGTCCGGAGACGAACTAGCACGCCGTTGAGAGTTAGTTCCAAAGTGGCTTTTGAAGAGAGTGGCGGGTCGTCTCGGTTTGCAGTCCAAACAACTGTTGTTTCTGGTTGGCTGAGCATAAAAATTCCGACCGCAAAGCCGTCGTCTTGGCTGTAGAAACCGAAGGCGAAGAGGCCGGAAGGTGAGAGCCATGAAGTGGTGTTGTCGTTTGGGGACAAAGAGGAGCCCAAAGCGATGGCGTTTGGTTGGTTTGTTTGAGCTTTTGTGTTGATGGAAAACAGAGCAATGGATAGTATGAGAAAAACTGGTGGAAAAGCCATTGAAGACATGAAAGGAAACCAGAACAACTTGTTTATTATTATTTTTAAGGAGATTCTCTGTTATTTTGAAACAGAACCTTTGTTTTGAGCTTATTTCAAGATTTTTTTTTATTTATTTTTGGTTGAATGGGTCAATCTTATTTCTTTTTTTCTTTTTCCTAGTCACGACGTGCATGCCAAATTTTATTTTAATTTATGACTTGTAAAACAACTTAGTACGAGTTTTTTATTTATCAAATTATCTTAAATTAATCATTCCGTGATCTGAGTGTAAAAATCTTGATGAAAAAGGATATGTAAGATTCGTGTACATGTTCAATGAGAATTAATTTTCTTTAAGAGTATGGATAAGTTTAGATTTTTACTATTTATTTTTAATTATTATCTTTTTAATTAATATAATAATTTGATTAAAAAGTATATTAATTAAGAGTATGGGTAAAAATTCAGACTTATACAGTCTAAAAAATATTTGTCTACTTTCCTTTTAATGTTAGAATTTTACACACTAAGATAAACTGTTAAGAATAAATCATATCATTTTTCTGTTAAGACTTCAATAAATGAAGAATGTGAAATAATTAATTTTAAACAATTTTAATAAATATGCGACTCATTCTAAAATGTTTTAAAAACCGCGTATTGAAAACGTGAAATCTATAGTTTAGAGGCTAAGGATGTATTTTTTTTAATCAACATCTTTTGTGGTGACATAGTAATCCCACATCCAACCAATGAAAAAGCAAAAAGAAATAATGACTGGATTTTCTATTTTTTCCTTTTAAATTGTTTTTTTTTTCCAATAGTTAAAAGAGTATTTTTTTTTATATTAAAGACAAGATATTCACAACATAATTCGGAATATAAAATCTTGGTGAGTGGCAATCTACATCATATTGTATGTGACATAACCTATGGGTATTTATTGACAAAAAGTTGGAAGTGTTGTAAGTTTAAAATATAGGTACAGGAGTTTATTTTTCATAGAATTAACGCGAGACACGCGAGTTTTGATGGTAGTGTCAATTTTTAATCGTAGATCAAATCAAAATTATATTAAATTAAAAAATTATGTAAAGTAGATAATTTTTAATATAAATCTGACCGTTAAAAATATAGAATTATAAATATATATATATATTGTAATTTTAGAAGAAAATTTTCTTAGGTGAATTGTCGTCTTTTTCACGTGCTACTTAATGAGTATAAAACTGTGAAAGTCACAAGATTCTGAGTTCCCATGAATTAATGAGTATTATACCATTAGACAATTAGAAGAATCTGAGAAACTATGGAATAAGCCTTTCATTAACATTAATCAAATATATATATACAAGCAGAGAGAGCACAACTAGTGTCTAGATACAACGAACTTGTTAGTTTCCTAAATTCAATCAGATAACCTAAAATCAGAAAATATACAAGTTGGCTAATTACAAATTAGATGCATAATATTAATATATCGTACAAATACATAAAAAGTATCACACATCCTTAATTAAACAGAAATTGTTGATGATTGGAGTTAACACAGTGCAAGGGGTCAAGATAGGCTTGTAGGGTTGTATATCCGGTGGATTGAGTGGGTTCTCAGGATTTTTCAACCCACATAGATTAGTTTTGATATCTTACCCAAATATTGAATTAAATGATTAGATGTCTTAGAATTTATTTATTTATTTATTTAAAAAAAAAACTTCAACTAAAATTCATAACATCATATTTCCATTCTAAGTCTCAGTCTAAACTCGCGCATATATATATATATATATATATAAGATAAACAATATTAGTCTGGATACAGGTCATTCATTATTTCTTTTTTTTATTTTAAAGAAAACAATAGAGATCCTTTCATTCAAACTTAAGAAATATGAACAAGGGGATCATTTTCTTTCCTATTCATCTATATTTGAATGATAAACAATATTAGTCTGGATACAGGTCATTCATTATTTCTTTTTTTTTATTTTAAAGAAAACAATAGAGATCCTTTCATTCAAACTTAAGAAATATGAACACAAGGGGATCATTTTCTTTCCTATTCATCTATATTTGAATGACTACAATCGTGTGTGTATATATATATATATATATATATATACATACAATACAGTGAATCAAATAAGAGAGCTAATCTAGGCTAAGAATCCGGTTGACCCTTAAACAAAGGGGATTTCATATTACAGCTGGCTAGTTAATAATTCCTACAATCTCTCCAATTCAGTATTGTTGACAACTCACGCTAACACTCCTCCTCAAGTTGGTGCATAGATATCACAAATGCCCAACTTGTTAAGTGAGTTGTGGAAGATCTTGCTAGAGATGGCCTTCGTAAGTATATCCACTAATTGGTCTTCAGATTTAACAGATGGGAACCAAACTACCTTGGACTCAGGATTCTGCTTGATGAAATGTCGATCCACTTTAATATGTTTTGTCTTGTCATGCTGAACTGGATTATGAGAAATGTCAATGGTTGCCTTATTGTCGCAGAATAAGTTCATTTCATAATTAGGTGCAAAGCCAATCTCAGTCAATAATCTCTTAAGCCAAAGAAGTTCACAAAGTCCTATGGCCATGCCTCTAAACTTAGCTTCAGCACTTGATAAAGCCACCATTATCTGTTTCTTGCTTCTCCACGTGACAAGATTTCCTCCTACAAACGAGAAGAGTAGCCTGATGTAGACTTCCTATCAGAAATGCTCCCAACCCAATCTGCATCGGTGTAGCCATCGACATTGAGATGATTGTTCTTGGAGAACATAAGTCCTTTCCCTGGAGCAGATTTCAAATACTGGAGAATTCGAATTACCGCATCCATATAGTCTTCACTTGGTGAGTGTATAAATTGACTCACTACGCTCACTGCATAGACAATGTCAGGTCGAGTGTGTGATAAATAAATTAGCTTACCAACTAATCTTTGATATCTCTCGTTATTAGTTGGTACTTGATCTGGGTATTCTCCAAGCTTATGATTATGAACAATCGGAGTATCGGCTGGCTTACAATCAAGCAACACTTCATATAATAAGTCTAATACATATTTCCTTTGATAAAGAAATATACCTTTACTTGATCTGGCTACTTCAATCCCTAAGAAATATTTGAGATCCCCAAGATTCTTCATTTCAAACTCAGTTGCTAAATTTTCCTGAAGCCTATTGATCTCTTCTGTGTCATCTCCTGTAATAATCATTTCATCCACATAGATTATTAAAGCTGTTACCTTTCCCTGTTGATGCTTTAAGAATAAAGTATGATCTGAGTTGCATTGTTGAAAACTGTGCTGGGTGATTGTTTTAGTCCATATAGTGAGCGTTGCAATTTACATACAACTCTTGCTTTTGAAGAAACACTATATCCTGTTGGAATATCCATATAAACCCCTTCTTTAAGATCGCCATGAAGGAAGGCGTTCTTTACGTCAAACTGGTGCATCGGCCAATCTAAATTCACTGCAAGAGACAATAGGACCCTAATAGTATTTAGTTTTGCCACTGGAGAAAAGGTTTCTTGTTAGTCTATGCCATATGTTTGCGTGTATCCCTTCGCCACAAGTCTTGCCTTGTATCTTTCAATGGATCCATCAACCTTATGTTTGATGGAGAAAACCCATTTGTACCCTATTATCTTCTTTCCTTCTGGCAATGGGACAAGATTCCATGTTTCATTTTTCTATAGTGCCTCTATTTCTTCTTTTATTGCTTCAGCCCACTTTGGATCTTCTAAGGCCTGTTGTACTCTGTTGGGAACATGACATGAAGACAAATTGTATACAAACACCTTAAGAGGTTCTGCTAATCTTTGAGTCGATACATAGTCCGCAATTGGATACTTTGATCTTCTTTCCTCCAAATCTGGTGAATATCGGTTTGGGGGCTTTCCACGATTATGTTTGAAAGGCAAGTTATAACCAACGTAGATATCCAAACTATCAACATGAGAGGGTGTAGTGGGAGAGCTTACCTCAAGAATATTCTCGACGTTAGGTACTAAAGAGGGTGAGGGTGTTGTAGTTTCAGCCTCAGTTTCTTGTGTAGTTTCGTTACTCATCCTGCCTCCTGACCCGGCTTCTTGCTCAACACTAATCATCGCTTCATCATTTTCAATCACTGGACTGTCTGGGTGTCTTCTAAGATGTTCAACTTCAACTTGTTCTGGGGTGTGGGTGTCTTTAAATACCTCACAATTCCACCAATTTTGCTTTTCATGTATTATCTCCCCCTGAAGAGAAGAATTGGTTGCTGGTGAAGAGTAAAAACTTTCAGTTTCCACAAATGTAACATCCACGGTGACATAAGTATGTCGTGTTGTAAGATTGTAACAGTGATATCCTTTTTTCTGTGTAGCGTACCCCAAAAAAATGCAACGTACTGCGCAGGGATCAAGCTTAGTGCGTTGATTTTTATGGAGATGAACAAAGGCAACACATCCAAACACTTGAGGAGGAATCAACAAAACAGATGGTAGAGAAACATGGTGCGAGAGAGCCTGTAACGGGGTCTTGAATTTTAGGTCTTTTGAAGGCATACGATTCAATAAATGTATTGCCGTGACCACAACAGAATCCCAATATCTACTCTGCATATGTGCTCCAATCAATAAAGCATGAGCAGTTTCTAAAATATGCCCGTTTTTCCGTTCGGCCACCCCATTCCATTGCGGTGTTTGAGTATAAGAAGTCTCATGTAGAAGACCATAATTCTGGACGCAAGCTTGAAATTCCTGATTAACATACTCTCCACCATTGTCAGAACGAAGAATCTGGGGGTTTGCTAGAAACTGAGTCTGAATCATTGCATAAAAAGACTTAAACAAACCAAAGACCTCATCTTTATGTTTCAGCAAGTATAACCAAGTCATTCGAGTACAATCATCAACAAAGATCACAAACCAACGAATTCCAGAACAAGTAGTAATTGGGGAGGGTCCCCAAACATCAGAGTGGATTAAGGCAAATGGAACATCACTTTTATTCAAGCTTATTGGAAAAGGTACACGATGACTTTTAGCTAAAATGCAAGTTTCACACTTAAAGTCTGAATCATGTAGAGTTGAAAATAAATTTGGAAATAAATACTTCATATAACTGAAAGACGAATGTCCTAATCGACGATGCCATAGCCAAATCTGCCTCTCCTTGACACTAGTTGAGTGGTGCATGTTATTTGTTTTCCCCAGGCTAAAATCATCCATGTAGTACAACCCCTATCTCTTAGTACCACGCCTAATGATCTCCTGTGTGAGAATATCCTGAAAGAGACAAAAAGTGGGATAGATTAAAGCAACACAATTTAGTTCTTCAGTGGCTTGGGCTACAGACAATAATTTATTTGAGAGAGATGGAACAAGTAGAGTATTGGATAAAGAGAGAGAGAGTGATAAAGTAACGGTTCCAGCTCCTGTAACGGGATATGTGACGCCATTAGCATTAGCAATGCTACTGCGTCTTGGTTGGGTAATCTTGGCAAAGTCGTTGACATCGAAAGTTATGTGATCAGTCGCTCCTGAGTCAACAATCCAGCCACTGTAATTATCTTGACTAGAACCAAGTAATGCAAATCCACAATTACCTTGGTTATTGAGAGAATTTGACTCATCTGATGGTTCCACCAACAAAGTAAAAGATAATAGAGGTTCTGCGTTTACCAAAGTAGCCCGTCCTGGTTCGCCATTAGTGTTGGCTTCACGTTCACGTTGTTTTCGTGCCTTGAGTTCATTCCACCACTCCAGGTAACCATGTAACTTAAAGCAAGTTTCACGAGTATGCTTCATGTTCCCAAAGTGTGTACAACCTCCCTCGTTGTGTCTTGGCCTTAGAAGTTGTAGTGACTTTTCCACCACCTGTTGAGGAAGATCCGGCCTTGGATATTTAAAGTGTTAGTGGCTGCAGGGGTCCTGCCTTGACTCCTTTAGAGGCCATAGCAGCGGCCTGTGTAGGCTCCGTGTTCGACTTCATAACCGATTGTCGTATAGCCTCCCTTCGAACATGGGCATAGGCCTGTTCAACCATAGGAAATGGTCGGATTTGGAGCACATTAGCCCGAATTTTATCTAGGCGATCATCTAACCCATTGAGGAAGAGATAGACTCTATCCTCCTGTAGAGCAGAATTATATCTCTGTATATCAACAGGACATTCCATCGGGTTTGGCCAACGAAAATCGATTTCTCTCCACAAGCCTTGCAGACCATTGTAATATTCTTCAATGGATCCTCCGGCTTGTCTCATTCTAGTCACACGTCTCTTCAAACCATACACTTGAGAAGTGTCGGTTCCGTCAAAATAAGTGGTAGCAACTGCATCCCATTCCAATTTTGCAGTTGGAAAGCGAATAAAATTGTTGATTAGAGTCGGGTCCATGGAATTAATTATCCATCCCTTAACAATTGCATTTTCTGTTCTCCATTTCCGAAACGTTGGGCCTGATGATTCAGGTTGTAGAATGTCTCCATTGATGTATCCCATTTTGTCTTTGCCAGAGATATACATCTCAACAACTTGGGACCACAAACCATAGTTGGAGCCGTCTAGCTTGATGCCGATCAGAGCAGCGGGAGGTTCGTAGGTCAGCACTTGATTCTGGGTTAGAACTTGCATCATTCGGGTCGTTAAATCATCGAGGATAGCAACGGTAGAGTTCTCACCATATCTCTGGTGCACCACCACGTCCGTCGGTTCTGCCATAGTTTCTGATCAGTTTTGGGGAAGTCTGATTGTAGTAGAAAACCTTAGGATCTTGTCTCTGATACCATGATCACAAGGGGATCATTTTCTTTCCTATTCATCTATATTTGAATGACTACAATCGTGTGTGTATATATATATATATATATATATATACAATACAGTGAATCAAATAAGAAAGTTAATCTAGGCTAAGAATCCGGTTGACCCTTAAACAAAAGGGATTTGATATTACAGCTGGCTAGTTAACAATTTCTACAATCTCTCCTATTCAGTATTGTTGACAACTCACGCCAACAAAATATAAACTAACATGCAAATGATTGCTAATCTCCAAGCATCACTCTATGTTCTAGTGATGTAATAAAATAACATACGACTTTGTAATTTCGTATTTCAGTTTCCTCAGGTTGGGAAACTTAACCCAAATCAACCTAATGAAATTTTGAATTCGATGGATCAATTTCCCTGACTTTAAGTTCGGGTATCACGTCGCCATGTATTCTTGTTTTGACAAATAATTAACAAGAAAAATAAAAATGACTAATTTAATAATAGTTGTCTCATTTTGTCCTATAACTCCATATGACATAAAACTTTCCTTGAAGTTATAAGTTACAATTTTGATATTTCCAATATTAATGAATCAACGTTTTAATGGCTTTAATCACATGTGTGGCGTACTATATATATATATTTTGAATGCATGGCTTACTTAAGTATTTGGTGAGTGAAACACAGTAAATTTAAACAAAATAGTATTTAAAATTTCAAACAATCTAACAAAACACAAATTCTTCTTGCTTTAACATAGATGTCACTTCGTCCTTTACTCACAACCCCCCGCATTATGGTCACCCACCTTTTTAGTAACTAAAACCTAACCTCTATATGATTAAAAAGGTTAAAAAATTGACATTTAAGTGATGAAAGTATTAAAGTTTTAACTTATGATAAACTTATATAAAAAGAGTATTTTGTACCATTCTAAGTTATAAGGAGAAAAATGAGATAATTTCTATTAATTGGCGGCCGAATTTAGATTTATCTTAAAAAAATAGTATCACAATATTATTATTATTATTATATATATGTGTATATATAATATATTAAAAAAATCATAAAACATATTACAGTCGATGACAATGATTTTTCATGTTTTGGAAGTGCTGCATAATAACTCATTTTAGAGGGGGCTAATGAGAGATTATTTTTCTTGAGTGGGGGTGAAATGGGAGATTCCAAAAATTTGAAAGCTAATAACTAAAATTAAAAAATTTCAGTGGGGACGGCAGCGTCCACTGATCCTAACATGCCTCTACTGCTACATCCTTAGTCGAATGTGAAAAAATGCAAATATGAAATATTTTTTTAATACTCTACCATAAATTTCTCATTGCTTTGAAACTGTTTGGTTTGGATTTTATTTTCAGTTTTATAGTTTGATTTTTTTAAAAAAGAAAAAAAAGGTATAACTTGTTTGTTTGCTTCAACTTGAAATCAATGGAAACAAGATTTTGGAATCAGATTCAAAATCCTTTGTAGAAAATGAAGTGTTGAAAAATGATTTATTTGATTCTATATTAAAGGGTTAATTTCACAAATGATATCTTAACTTTATCATCAATCTCACTTTAATTCTTAAAATTTAAAACATCTCAAAAACTCATTCTGCTCCGTTAGTTTGTTTTAGTTTCAATTATTTTTATTAATTTTAGGTGTACAAAAGATAGAATATGCAGGTGGTGTTGAAAAAAAATATATTTTATTAATAGAATACTGAATATGCACGTGATTCTAACATAAAAATGTAACATAACACTTTGTTATCTAAATATTATTCATATTTTGTTTTATTTTTAATACCCAACTGATTAGAAAGATTAAAATTGAAAGAAACTAATAGATCAAAGATTTAAGTTTAGAGCATTTTGTTAATAACGTTTGATTCTCACCATTGAAAATTCGTCTACATATATATAATATATATATAGATATATGTTTTTTATGATTATATGTTTTTATTAATGGTTACTTATCAAATACATAAATTTAATGTGTGATGTAAAAAAAAAATACAATCTCACTAATTCTCATATTTTTTAAATCAATTACTTTAAGGGAGTTCTTTTAATAATCTACTTTACTGATAATTTTAATTTTTAATTATTAAATCTGATTAAAATTACATCAATTTAAAAACATATTTAAAATAAATTTAACATTTAAAAAATAAAAAATTACCGCTAATTCATTTCTTCAAAATTATAAAAAAAAAAAATCCCTTACTTTAAAGCTATATCATAAAAATAATAAATATCGGCGCAACCATCTCGAATCATGCATGACGATATTGATTGCCTATCCTCTCGATTCTTCTACCATTAGTTCACTTCCCGCCAAACCCATATAAGATAAAATCCCCTAAAACCTTCCTTCAAATTCCCGCCATGGAGTAATGAAGCTCCATTAAGCAGTCTCTGGAAAAAAAAACCCCCCTTTATTTCCCGAGAAAAATCCCCCATTTTCTTTCAATCCAAACACTCCTCCTCAGTCCCTGAATTGATCGAAAAACCACTAGCCAATGATCGAGACCCCGGCCTTCGTATTCCAATCATAGACTAGCCTAATCCCAGCCCCCAAAGTTAGGGTTTGGCAAATCGCAAGGATGGCGCAATTGAATGTGAAGCAACATACGCTAATTCAGGCTTTGCTCTTGCGAGGCCCTCTCAAGGAGAACGAGTTCCACGGCATTTTCACGGGCCTCACCGGCAAAAATCCAGGTCTTTAATCTTCCGAAATTCCCAGTTTCCGTACTTCTCTTTGAAATTCGCTTTCTTTCTTTCTTTCTTTCTTTCTTTTTCTAACAGTGAATTTGGTAGCTAAAATGACGATTTTCTTCGAAGCCTGCATCTTTGTTAGAATCAAAATTTTGAGTTTTCAGTATATAAATATACCAAATTGACAAATCGGGTTTTGTATAAAACTTTTTTTTTCCCCTATGTTTTTTAAAGTTAGGTGTTGATTCTATGTTGTAACCACAAAAGCTCTAGGCTTAGGTTAATGGTGATTCATGTCATCATGTGTGTAAAGTTAGCTCTTCTTTTTTTTTTTAAGTGGTAGAGTTAGCTCTTAGAAATGCAATATTTAAAAATGGTATAAAATATAATCATTTAAACCACGTGGTAACTTGCTAACCAGATTATTATTAAAATTTTTTTTTTTGAAAAACTAGATAACCAGACAAACTGATCCTAGATCCTGAATATGAATATATATTTTTTAATCATTTCTTGTCTCTTTTTTATTTGCGTTGTGTTATAATTGAAAAGTATGTGTGTTTCCAGAGCTTTTAGCTATTGCAATTATGTTAAGTTTATGCATTTGCAAAACTGGTCTTAGAAGCAATGAGTTGGAGTTCATGTGTCACATTTATACATGTGCCCTTGCTTGGGTGTGAGCGTGCGTGTGTTTTTTGAAACTTTAAATGTGCGTGTATGTTGTGTAGCATAGGCGTGCACGCGCGCTTGTCTGCGTGTTTAAACTTTCTATCTGCAATTAGAAATCTATCAAAGTTCATATATCTATATTGGCCTTCCACATGATCTTATTATATTACCATAAAAGATCCCAGCAAAAAGGAGAAAAAAGAATTACCGGAGACTTGGAGTTGTTGAGTTGGGCTGAAATCACTTAGATGATCTTCTTGTCGCAAAAATTGTCATAAATGTTCTAGCGTCAGTTGTTTTATTTCCTTTTACAGATTCTTGGGCACAGAATCAATTGTAATTGAAATTGATACCAAACAAGGTCATAGTTTTTTATAGTCTTTACTTTTGATTTTTGAATACTCGAGTTTGGAAGTCACAAAAATTGTCACGAATCTTTCAGCAGCAGTTAATGTTTCGTTTTCTTTGTTTGTTGTTGTTGTTTTCCCCTCCTTTTCTAAATTTGTGGACACAAAATCTGTTGTAGTTTGAGACATCTGTGATTTGAAACAGCTACTCATCAGCAGCTATTTGATGATTATCTTCTGAAGATAAACAAGGGGCTTTCGTATGCTCAGCTTGAGTTGCGGGGCTGCAGACATCAATATGATGGTCAAATTTATTATGGAGTGGTCAATAATGTCTCCGATGAACAATCCAAGCTGGGAACAAAATATTCAGTTCCCCAAATTGCGTTTTACAAGGCTATTGTGAGTATCTCTAGGATGTTTTACTACTGTTGCTTGAGCATATTTGATTTTCTGGTTCTATCTGTTATCAGAAAGTTGAATTGTGTGATCAAAATATGGGAGCTTATTTCTCTTGAAATTAGCAACATACTCCTGCGGAACAGTACCGTGCTAAGTTGGGTATATACAATTATGCGAAGTAAATATAATGTGTGGATGGTAGAAATCACGACATATGCCTTCTGACATAGGAAATAGTTTGGCGTGAAGTGGATGAACTTCAATGAAATAGTTCAAGAAGAGTTTCATGGATATGATTATCCATTTAAAATGCATCAAGCCATATCTCCAAGACCTATTGTTATCTAAAATATCTCTATTTTTTCCCTAGTATCTTTTATATACTTTTTATACGTCACTGCCCTACTTTCAGTTTTGGCAAAGTGGTGGTTGTCATTTTCTTCCCTAGAGTTTTGCCTTCTCGAGAAATTTCTGGAAGAAAATTTAAATTTCTTCAATCTTCCGCTAAATTTTCCCCCTACTTGGATACTTGGATACTCTGCATAAGTAGCAAATGAAGATGACAATGAAAGCTTCTCTCTTGCAAAAATTCGGACACCCATTTTTCTAAAGCGCCTTTTGGCATTCTTTTTTAACTTTTCAAGCATAATCTTTCTTTCCTTCCTCTCTCTCTCTCTCTCTCTCTCTCTCTTCAGAAGAAAAAAGAAATTCTCTGTAAAAGTTCTATTAGACATGTTTGGTCTCTCTCTCTCTCTCTCTCTCTCTCTCGCGGCGTGTGGCGCTCTATAGAAAAAAAAAAAAAAAAAAATCTCTGTAAAAGTTCTATTAGACATGTGTTCTCTCTCTCTCTCTCTCTCTCTCTCTCTCTCTCTCTCTCTCTCTCGTCGTGTAAGGCTCTTTAGAAAAAAAAAAAAAAAGAAAATCTCTGTAAAAGTTCTATTAGACATGTTTGGTGTCTCATGTATTCTCATGTTACTCTGGTTCACATGTCAGATAGAGGCTATTGTGCAAGATGATACAGCCCAAGGTAGCATATCCAATATCGCTGCTCTTAATCTACGATTGGAGAATCAGGTTCGCTTACCAATGATTTATTTTTCATCAGGCAATGTAAAAGCTTTCCCTGTTGAATTAATTTGTCTTCCATTTTATGGTATGCACTTACATTTTGTACTTAAATTGTGGAAATCCGGTGTAAATAGGCTAATCTTGTACAGTTGTTAGTTTCCTTATTTATAGGAGATTTAATTAGTTTCCTGATTTTTCTGATTACTAGATAAGTAGCTTCCTAGTTTTGTTATCTAGTCTGCTAGAATTAAGGGATTCAACCGGCTGTGGTTATCCCCTAAGGTGTATATATATATTTGGCTGTATAGCACGTTTTTTTAATAAGAATGAGAATAATATTCTTTCTCAAAACCCTATTCTGGTTCTCTGAAAATCTTCATGGTATCAGAGCAAGGTTGCTAATCCGGTTTTAGGGGTTTCTCTATTTTATTCAAGACACAACCTTCTCTCTGTTATAGTCATCACTGCAAACCCAAAATCCACCTCTTGGCGTCGGAAACAAGCAATACCCTAGGAACCTCGGCTGGTCAGGATTGCTTGAATGCAGGTAGATCAGAGGGCTCAATTCTTCTCATCACTCAACACAAGTTGAATGGTCAGAATTATCTTCAATGGGCCAGGTCTGTAATGATGTTCATCTCAGGCAAAGGGAAAGATGATTATCTCACGGGAGTGGCTATTTCACCAAAACCGAATGACCCCAAGTACAAAATCTGGAAAGCAAAAAACAATATGGTTATGTCTTGGCTAGTCAATACCATGGACGCAAAAATTGGACATAATTTTTAGTTCTATGACACTGCACACGAAATATGGATGGCGGCTCAAGAGACCTACTCAGACAACGATAACACTGCAGAATTATTTGAGATTCACGACCTAAGACAGGGTGAGTTAAATGTGACTCAATACTATAATTGTCTAACACGTTTTTGGCGACAATTGGATATGTTTGATAGTCCGGCTTGGGAATGTCCTGGAGATGCAAACCTGTATAAGAAAATTATAGAAAAGGAGAGAGTTTTCAAGTTTCTGCTAGGGCTTGATAAATCCCTTGACAAAGTAAGGGGGAGAATTCTTGGAACCAAGCCACTTCCATCCATTGAAGAGACATTCTCGGAAGTCAAGAGAGAGGAAAGTAGGAAGAAACTTATGCTAGGAAGTCCACTACCTACAGGAATAGAAGGTTCAGCCCTTGCGGCAAGGGGAACTTATGTAGCTCATGACACAAAGCAGAAGAAGACTCTGCCTTGGTGTGATCACTACCGGAAAACTGGACGTACTAAATAAACCTGCTGGAAAATCCATGGTAAGCCTATTGATTGGAAGCCGAATCGAGAAAGAGAAGCTCAAAGTTTTGTTGCTGCTCCCGAAGACAAGGAAAGTCTATCAAACTCGGAACCTAGTCTCTTCAGCAAGGAGCAAATTGAATGGCTACAGAAGATGTTCAACCAGAACTCAAACCTTGCCCCCACTGTTTCCATGGGATCCATTGCCCAGAAAGGTATTTTTTCAGCCACTCATTGTATCAAAGCTGAGGATTCCACAGGTTGGATTGTTGATTCAGGAGCCTCAAACCACATGATTGGTGATGCTTCATTATTCCAAGAATGTTATCCTTGTCTTAAAGATTATAAAGTCCGGATTGCTGATGGATCACTTTCCTTAGTAACAGGAATTGGAAAAGTTGTCATCGATGATATGTTAACTCTTCAATCTGTTCTTTTGGTTCCAAAATTAACTTGCAATTTGCTGTCAGTTAGTAAACTCACTAAAGATTCTAAATGTGTTGCTCAGTTTTCTCCCACTTCATGTTTATTTCAGGATTTGGATTCGGGAAAAATGATTGGCAATGCTAAGGAAGACCGGGGACTCTACTGGATTAGGGACAAAGCCTATCCTTACTCTTGGGCTCATCACTCCACTTCCTCAACAGTTAAAGATTCAGACCATCTTATGTATTTTGATTCCAATAAAGACAATTCCATTAGGTTACTGCACTTTCGTTTAGGACATCCAAATTTCTTGTATTTGGCAAAGATGTTTCCTTCATTGTTTATCAATAAAAATCCGAAAATTTTCCAATGTGAAGTTTGTCAATTTTCAAAACACTGTCGTAGTACTTATCCTCTTCAAGGTTACAAACCCTCTCATTCTTTTTCAGTCATACACAGTGATATTTGGGGACCATATCGGATTCTAAATATAACTGGTGCAAGATGGTTTGTATCCTTTATCGATTATCACACTCGCGCTGCTTGGGTATTCCTTATGAAAGAAAAATCAGAGGCTGAACCCTTATTTAGAACATTTCATTCTATGATTAAAAACCAGTCTAGGTGTTTAGAACCAACAATGTTAGGGAATATTTCAACTCAATCCTAGGACCCTATCTACTCGAGAATGGCATTATCCATCAGAGTTCCTGTACAGATACCCCCCAACAAAATGGAATAGCAGAAATGAAGAACCGACACCTTCTTGAGGTTGCCCGTTCTATCCTATTTGCCAGCAATGTGCCAAAACATTTTTGGGGGGAAGCAATTTTAACTGCCACCTATATGATTAATAGGATGCCATCTCGAATCTTGGGATTTGATACACCATGCCAAATTCTTAAACTCTTCCCACAAAGCAGGGTGGTGAATACTATACCTCTCAAAGTGTGGGTGTTCAGCCTACATCCATATTCCTTCTTATCAACGAAGCAAACTTGATCCCAAGTCTATCAAGTGTTTGTTCCTAGGGTACTCACCTCATCAATAGGGTTACAAGTGCTATTGCCCATCTACTAGGAAAACATATAACACTATGGATGTGACTTTCATGGAGAATGTCCCATATTATTCCAAAACCTCTATTCAGGGGGAGAAACTACAAGAAGAATATCAGTTTTGGGATAGTATGATGTTAGAAGAACCTGAGAAAGAACTCATGAGTGATCTCCCTCCTGAACCTGTGGTTGAGAAGGAACTCTTAGTCTACACCAGACGTAAGAAGACCCCTAAATTAGTAGAGCATCTTGAGACTCCTACGCCTTGCCAAGCAAACAACCCGAGTTCAACTCCAAATGAAGTGATACAAGGTAACACTGGACCCTATTCCTCTTCTAATGATGTGTGCTTGCCTGATGATCTTAGCAAGTCAATTGCTCAAAGGAAAGGGATTAGATCGTGCACTCAACATCCTATCTCATACTTTGTGTCATATGAGAAGCTATCTCCGAGTTACAGGGCCTTTACCACAAATCTGGACAGTATCTAGACGCCAAGAGACATTCAAGAGGCACTACTACATCCAAAATGGAGAAAAGTAGTAAATGAAGAGCTAAGAGCCTTGTAGAAGAATGGCACGTGGGAACTCACTTAACTCCCTTAGGGAAAACATGTTGTAGGATGTAAGTGGGTTTTCAATGTCAAATACAAAGCAGATGGGAGTATTGACAGGTACAAGGCAAGACTTGTGGCAAAGGGGTTCACACAAATCTATGGGATTGACTATCAGGAAACCTTTGCTCCAGTTGCAAAAATGAATACCATCCGAGTTCTACTTTCTTTAGCCGTCAACCTTGACTGGAAGTTGCACCAATTTGATGTTAAAAATGCATTCCAAAATAGAGATTTGAAAGAGGAAGTATATATGGAGATCCACCCGGTCTCAAGAAGCCAAGTGATTGCAAAGCAGGTTTGCAGGCTTCGGAAGTCACTATATGGTCTTAAACAATCTCCAAGAGCTTGGTTTGACAGGTTCACCAAGGTAGTTCAGAAGCAGGGGTATTTGTAGGGACAATCTAATCACACTTTGTTCATCAAGAGAACTCCAGATGGTAAGATCACAATCCTTATTGTCTATGTTAATGACATAATTGTTACAGGAGATAATGAGATAGAGATTACTCGGCTAAAAAGGGTTCTAAGTCGAGGATTTGAAATTAAAGATCTTGGAGTCCTGAGGTGCTTTCTCGGAATGGAGGTAGCACGGTCTAGTTAAGGAATTTCAGTCTCGCAGAGGAAATATACACTGGACTTACTAAAGGAAACATGCATGCTTGGCTGCAAACCTTCGGATACTCTCATGGATCCTTTCAACAAAATTGGAACTAAAGGAGACTCAGGTCCAGTAGATAAAAGAAAATATCAAAGATTAGTGGGCAAATTGATCTACTTGTCTTACACTAGACCAGACATCAGTTTTGCAGTCAGCACAGTTAGTCAGTTCATGAATAGTCCAAATGAAGAGCATCAAGAAGCAGTGTACAGAATTCTGAGGTACTTAAAGATGTCTCCTGGCAAAGGTATACTCTTCAAGAAAGGAATCAACAGGGGCATAGAGATTCTGTCAAATGCAGATTGGGCAGGGTCTTTGACTGATAGACGATCAACTTCCGGATATTGTTCCTTTGTGTGGGGAAATTTGGTTAGCTGGAGGAGTAAAAAGTAATCAGTAGTTGCATGGAGTAGTGTTAAAGTTGAGTTCAGGGCCCTAGCTCATGGAATTTGTGAAGGGATGTGACTAAGAAGACTCCTAGAAACTTCCAATTAAGACTCCTATGAAACTGTTGTGTGATAATCAGGCAACCATCAACATTTCAAAAAATCAGCCCTTCATGATCGTACCAAGCATGTGGAAATAGACCGTCATTTTATCAAAGAAAAGATAGAGGATGGGATCATTGAAGTTGTCTACACGCCCACGCGACAGCAAACGACAGACATATTAGCCAAAGCCATTGCAAGAACTCAATTTGACATTCTTCTATCCAAGCTGGTAATGATTGGCATACATTCTCGAGCTTGAGGGGGAGTGTGGAAATCCGGTGTAAATAGGCTAATCTTGTACAGCTGTTGGTTTCCTTATTTATAGGAGATTTAATTAGTTTCCTGATTTTTTTGATTACTAGATAAGTAGCTTCCTGATTTTGTTATCTAGTCTGCTAGAATTAAGGGATTCAACTGGCTGTGGTTATCCCCTAAGGTGTATATATATATATGGCTGTATAGAACGTTTTTTAATAAGAATAAGAATAATATTCTTCCTCAAAATCCTATTCCGGTTCTCTAAAAATCTTCATAATTACAAATTTTGGCTTCTTATAGAGGAGGAAAAAATTGAAAAAAAAGTGTGTATGTGTCTTATACACAACCAAATTTTGAATGATATATTGTTTCGCATATTCATCTATCATTTGGCATTCCCTGGTTCTGGGAAAAATGATAATGGGAATGAAAGTTAATTGTTTCTAATTTCTAGATAAGCAGACGCTTTTAAAGATGGTTGAGGGGTTACATATTTAATTTTCCTATTGAAGAGTTCACTATGATGCATATGCTCACATTCCAATGACAGGAGATGCAGTGCAGGTTTAGCTACAAAAGAACATAGAGAAATCTATAGGTTTAAGGAGTATAAAAAATCTTGATGGTTAGAATAAGCTCTTCGCATTGTGCTAAAGCTCTCAACGATCACTTAGTTAAATGAAAGTTGTCGAGTGTCTACTCTAGTTTGCTAAAATTTTGTTCCACTTCTTTGTATATTAGTATTTGTTGTATATTCGTCTAGTGGCTTTTCTACGTGTGATAGACTGCGATAGACAGTTTTATAACAACTACATGAATAAAATTAGCATCCATACATTTATATAGGAATTCCCTTGTGAATTTCATTTGCCCATACGCCCACTTGCCCTCTGGTGAATTTAATTCATTTTTTGCATGACAATTTTGCTTGATAACTCTTGCGTTCTATCTTTAGGTCCTTAATGGGACAGGTTCGCAATCACAAGGTGGTTATATCCCTGCATTGAGGAATTTTTCTGCTACTCAGAAGGAAAAAACTCTTCGTGAACTTCTGCGTGACCAGTGGCTTAAACAAACCCCAGATGGTAAAATTGGACTTGGAATCAGATCCTTCCTCGATCTGCGAAGTTGGTTCCGTAATAATGATGTTCCTTCATGTGAAGCTTGCAACGAAGCTGGAGTAAAGGTTGTACTCGCACTTTTGGTTGCCCTCTTCTTTTCCTGCCATAACTGAGAATGGGCAATCTATTCCATCTCTTATGTTGGCTAAAGTTTTCATTTTCCCCTCATTTTTCCCCGTTTCTTTCAGTTGCTTAGTTAATTTTGCATGTTTCACATTCACTCAATTGAATAATCTGAAATCAGCCTGCAGTTTCCTGGCTGTTCTTGAACTTAGTTTTTGTTGTTGCTTTCGTTCAATTGAATAGTTTGAAACCTGCTCTGCAATTTGCTGAGTGTGCATTTCATACTTATTTTTTATGGTTATTCACTATTGTCATTACCTATTATACCCAGTATTGATACATAGGAAGATGAATATAATTGGACGAATTGATTTTGAAGTTAAAAGTAGAACGAAATGCTAATGCTAATTATTTTGAAGTTGTATGGTTCGAATGCCAATTTTCCTCATATTTTCCAATAGTCTGCTGACACTTTCAAATCTGACACTTTTACTTGGCTGTTTCTGACAGGCACAACTGTGCCAGAATGAAGATTGTACTGTCCGAATTCATCACTACTGTTTGAATAATATGTTTTCCCAGCGCAAGGTATGGATATTAGCGCACTTTTATATTTTTAGACATTCTAAAAAATGCTATTCCATAAATGCCTTGTGTTTTAGGGTGGACGAGTTTGTCCTCGCTGTGGCACGCAATGGCAATATGAAGGACCGAAAGAAGAAGCTGTTGAGGAAGATGACAAGTCAACTATGGCTGCTTCGAGCCGAGCACCACCGGCACCCAAGCGAAAGAAGCCAAGAATTGATGATGCAAGTGAATGGGGTTCTTCTCAAGCTTCCGTACCCAGTTCCCAGCCGCGGAGAGTTACTCGCAGTTCTGCCAGCGCTAGATAAATTTCTTACTCAACGCCCCTTCATATGTTTTGAAATATTCTCTATAGTCTATATACATATTGGTACAAATGTGCATGCATTTAGAGCTTTTTTGTTATCGGCTTACGTGACATCTTCCATCCTACGGCGTTTTTTGTTGGTACTGAATTTGTGAATGCAAATTTAGTTGTCCGGGTATGCTCTTTTTGTACATACCTTATAATTGGGACTGTTGAATTAGGAACTTGAGAGGGCATGCTGCAGAAAGCTTCTTGGATGTTTGTTCTATGATCACCAAAACAAAAATCACAACTTAAATTATTTTTTTAAGTTTTGATTTTTTTTTTCCCTGTGCATCCAAAACAAAACCGGTCAGCGTCCAATTGTCTTAAACCTTAAGATATTGAGAGTTCTTTGACGTGTAAACTTTAAATTTGTCCATGAAGTTTATCTCTTAACTAATCTTGAGATTAATTTTTCATAATTAAACTCTTAAGCAACCATAGGAGTTAAATTTATGAAAAAAGGAGACAAATATTTCGGAAATAGTAGAAAATATGTCAATATGAAAAGCTTAAGAAAATATATAGGTTAATATTTAATTATAGAAATTAATAGGTCATAACTTGTCAAGTTATGGTTCATAACCAGATAAGTTATGGACAAACTTGTCAAGTCATGGTTCATAGTCATACAAGTTATGGACAAAAATTGTTAATAACTCATCAAGTTATGGTTCATAACTAAAGAAATTATGGACAAAAATAATAATTTAGCATATTTATTAATTTATGTAAACTATTGACATATTAATTTTAATTTATCTCTTGATCTATTTCTCTCTTTCTCCCCGAATAGTTCTTAAAGTGCATGGGTCATCATCAAGGCAACTTATAGGATGTTTTTGGGCTGGGTTAATGGCGCATTAGTTACCATTAACTGTAACATTGGAGACCACCATCTCTCCGGTGTGTTTTCCCCTCCTTTTGTAAAGCGAATCGGAAATCTATTATAAGAATAACGAATACTAAAAAGAAAATTCTTATTATCCCGGTAGGAATTTATCTCTATAAATACAAAGAGATGACCCCACATGGTGGGTCCCACACGTGGATCTTACAAATGAGCTTTATTTTTGTGTTTGAGAGATAAATCTCGGGATATATATGATTGTTCATACTAAAATGTCAGATTTCTATTGGACATTTGTGCCACATGAGCGTGATAATGTGGTGCACTGGTCATTGATATAGCCAGTTTGAAATACTTGGATAAAACCTACCCTACTATCCTCTAAAGACGGTCCAAATTGCCCCGATAAGTATTATTTAGGGTTCGTTTAATTCGTTAATTCGAGTTGAGATGTGACTTTATGTGAGAATTTTTTATTATAATAAAAAAGTCAAATATGACTGTTTTTAAGAGTTTTTTACTGCAGTGAATCGGTGAAATGAACGAAATTTTAGTTAAGTTGACATTATTTGTCATGATTTATCAATATAAGGATATGAGTAAATTAATAAAAGAAAGAAAAAAAAAAAGAAACGAGCAATATTAACTTAGGCTGCTTTAACGTACGTAATATCACATGGTGAGAATAATGATGTCTTTGATTATTTGGCATTTTTCTATGGTTTGATAGATAGATTAGACTATATCAATTCATTTAAAAAGTACAAGCCAAATATTAAAAGCGGTGGGGATTCATTTTCAGATCTCCTTAGATCATAGTCACATGCATTACATTTGTTTGTTCAACTTTATTGTCCTTCTTACTCTCGTTTTCTTTTCTTCTCTCCCTCCCTATGTATATATACTAGTTTTTAACAGCACCATACGTATTGTCGGGTTAAAAACACTTGATACAATTATTATTTACTGAATAACGAGAAATTCATTTATACTACCATTTAAGAATTTTTTAAATTTATTTTTTTTTAAAATATGCGTAAGGATAACATCTGATATAATAGGATTTTTAAACTACCATTAGTTCTTATTTTCAGCAATTAAATTTGTATCATAAATTATTTATTTTGCACATTTTTTAATCTGGTGTGATTTTAATAAGATCTAAGAGTCTCAAAAATTAGTGACTCTACAAATAAAGAGGGATGTATAGATATAAATCTAGATGTAGATAGATAGATAGATGTATGGATATGCAAATGTACAAATAGATGTATAAATATTGTATAATAATATATTATATCATGCGCATAGATAAATATAGTGTAAGAAAAGATTTTGAGAGAGATAAATTAGATAAAAAGTTAATTTAAGGTATATGTAAGAAATTAAAGGATACTTTTTTTAAAAAGAAAAATAAAAGGATACTTAAATAGGAGTGTACATTGAAAAAAAAAAAAACAGGGCAAATAGGTAAAAAAAACAAACGAAAAATTTACATATAACATATAGGAATATTTTCTTTTGTACATATAAAAATGTTAGAGCAAAATGTACGATGATCTTTAATGAAAAATAACCAATAAGAGTGGTTTTGGGTGAGAGAAAGGTAAGAAAAAATAAAAGTAAGTTTCTTTAAAGGAAAAAAAAAAAAGTCTTCAAGCTGGCATCGTCAATACAGAAGGAAAAGAATTAAAGAGAGCAAAAAAAAAAAAAAAAAAAAAAGGAAAAAAAGCAAGAAATGACACGTGGACGAATATGGGAAGAGGATTTTGCTTCTTTATAACGTTAGATTAGATGGATGCATATATAATTGCCAAATTCTATTCCTTTCTATTCCTTTTACCTCTTTACACCCTTGATATTCATGCCGATCTACAACTTCTGCTTTTTTATATGATTTAACAATTGCTATTGTCTTTAAGCAAAAAGCCAAGTAAATCCTTGTAAGCACTTTAGAGTCAAATTAAAAAGGAGTTATTTATGATGACCTATCTTTTGTTTTTGTCAGAATCCAAAGAGTGCTTTTTTATTACGCACATCCTTGAATGATTCTTTGGAGAAAGAAGAAACAGCTTTTACGGCCCAAGTAAAATACCTTAAAAGACTTTTCTATTTTAACTTCTTGCACTATTTATTTTTTATTTTATTTTCTTTGTCCTTTTCGGAGAAATGGAATCCAATAGTCAATGGTATGTAATTGTAATCACCAACATCTTGCCCGGCTTGACAAATATCCGAGGTGTTACGCCAAGATTTGAGTCGTCCATTCACAATTTGCTTAGCCACAAAAAAAATAAAAAAAATAAACCTCCAGGAAGAAAAGAAAAAATCTTAGTTTGGTTTTAATCTCGGCAAAACTCTTATTGAACTAAAGTGTTGATAGAATTAGCATTGAGCACTAACAACAAAGAATTGGCGAAAAAGGTGGATATCTACGCCAAAAGCATGCATATGATGTATGTACAAGTCCTAACTCAAGGGTGGCTTAATGATATAGAGTACCGTGGTGAGTTTATGGTTATAAAAGTCCGTTCGGTTCGCTAATTCGAGTTGAAATGTAATGGTGTGTGAGAATTTTTTATTATAATAAAAAAGTTAAATGTGACTGTTTCTTAGAGCTTTTTACTGTAGCAAAACTCAAATCAGCGAAAAAACGGGGCCATGTGAACTTTTGATTTTTGTTAGTCTAGTATTTGATTTAGAGCTTCTAGGTAAAAAAAAAAAAAAAAAAAAAAAAAAAAAAAAACAAAAAACCCCTGTTGAGCCGATCTGGACTTAAAGGTCTGTTCGTAATGGTTTAAAAAAATTGTTTTTAGTTTAGTCTCAAGACCGCTTTTGAACCTATTTTAGACAAACACAATTAGCTTTTAGCTTTTATAAGTTTTTTTTTTTTTTTTTTTTTTTAAAAAAAGTTAACTCCTTGATGCTAGCACATTTTGATGCTAGCACATTTCTCTCTCCTTAACTACGAAACTTGTGGAGGTTTAGAACGTGATACTTTGAACATCAAGACCTTCTTGAAGGATGTATTCATTTTTTTTTTCTTTTGGTGCCAGGCATGAACGAGAAAAAGATTTTACCATGGAGCCTCAATCGAAGCTTACTATTATTAAGATGTTAGAAGATAAAGGAGAAATTGAGTACGAGATTATACTCATTTCTGGATTCAATTCCAAAGCTTTCCATCTAAAGTTTGTCATTGGAGATGACTTGAAAGATGAATTGTTATTAGATTAGTTTGTCTCTTAAAACTAGATTGACAAGTGACAATAAAATAAATTAGAGTCTGTAAAAGAGTCTGAATGAGAGTCTTAGCATGTTTACCTGTAATCGGAATGGGCATGATTCAGAGTGGGTAAGATTTATAGTCAGAATAAGTTGTTTATTTGGTGACATGATTTGGAATCGGAATCACTCTAAATCTCATTCATGCGTTTACTTACACTCATAATCAAAATGAAACAGTGTAAAAGTATTAATATATCTTTTAAGTCAATTTGATATTCTTAATTTAAAAAATAAATTGTGTACTTATTATATTAAAATTAATCATAATTAAAATATTTAGTGTAATAATAGTGTATTAAAATAATAAATATAACTTGTACAATTATTTAAAATATAAAAATAAATTGTTAAAAATTTAAATAAAATAAAAAAATAAAAAAGTGTTAAAAAATTCAAATATATTATTAATTTATCAAACAAATAAAGTACATACTTTATTATATTAAAGTTAGCAATAATTAGCTCATATTATAATATTAGGCAAACGAAATATGTTGTAATTATTATTTTTTTAATTTTATATTTATAAGTAAAATATGGGGTATGATAGTAATTTAATGTTAATATCAAGAATGAGAGTTCTAATTCAAAGGGGGTATGAGAGTGTCAATTCCATTCCTCAATCTTAAATTTGAGTGGGGTCCATCAATCTCACTCCTATTGTAGAATAAAAGAGAGTGAGTAAACATTGAATTGACTTCGATTCCCTATTTTTATTTTTAAATCTTGATAAGTAAACATGCCATCTGTGTTTAGCACTCCTCTTGACTATATAATTAGGTTTGTCATTGGAAAAATGACACAACTTTCTTCTTAATAGTCGTACTTTAACATGTAAAATTATAAAATTAATATATAATAAAATCACACACGGTCCTTTTGGTCCTTGCAAATGAATTAGGAGCATTGTAAGTTTATTACTTCACAAACATGTATCAAAACTTAACTTGGATAAAAATAGGACGACGATAACAACTTTTCGATAACATCTTAGACAATAAAATTAATAATTTAATCAAAAGTAGTAAGGATTATATGGACACCCAATTAAAAGCCTTTGTCCAAAAACAGATGCACAGTAGAACCGGATAAAAAAAATCCATTTTTTTAGCTCGTTTAGTTCGCTGATTTGAATTTTTAATTTAAATTGAGATGTGACTTTATGTGAAGATTTTTTAGTGTAATAAAAAAATTAGATGTGATTGTTTCTGAGAGTTTTTTACTGTAATAAAACTCGAATTGATGAAGTAAATAGGGGCATTAAGTGTTTCATTTGTTCCTTTTTATTTTATTTTATTTTTTAAATTTTTGGCTCTTTGTTTGTCTTACTTCCAACCAAACCGACACATAAATTACTTTTACTTCGGATCACTTCATATCAAACCTTAAATATTATCGGCATAGCGTTGTGGTCCTCAATGTTTAACTCTTACCAACTATTGTACTTTTGCTTCAGAGAAAAACTTATTTAATTTGAGAAGCATATTATTTAAGAATGAAAGAGAAATGAAAAGAGGACTAATAAATTTTTCATTTTTTGAGATTGAAAATGAACGGCTATCTAAAAGACTAACATTTTTTAATTTTTATATGAAAAAAGTGAAAAAAAAATTATACGTGATTAATTACATTTCATTTACTCCCAAGAACCACATTGTTTTCAGGGAGTTTCTCTGATATAAAAAAAAAAAAAAAAAAAAAAAAAAAAAAAAAAACTCACTCATAATTTCTTATTTTGAACCGTCATATTTATATTAAAAATTATTTATTCTGTATACATTTTTAATTTAATGTGATTTTAACTAAATTCAATAGTTAGAAATCTAGTCCTAGGCCTATAAAAGAAACTCTCTTTATTCTTAAATTTAAGATTCATAGAGTTGTGTCTTCACAATTGGACCTGTATTTTCTTAAAAGAAATATTAATTATTACCACAAACCTTTCTTCATTGTACACAAATCTTCTACCATTTAATTTTCCCGCATATTTTCTTCCCAAAAGAACAGTCTTTGATATCACCCTGCAGCTCGGACCGTTTGTTGACCATAATTCATGACATGGCCTTTGTGCAAGCAAGCGCGAGAGAAGCAAGCAAAGTAGAAGCTTTGCAGAAGCAAGACGAGGAAGCGGAGCTGTCACGTTCCTAGTTGTCATGGGAAAGGCAGAAATAAGAAAGAGATTATTTCTTGAGAGCTTGTCTAGTACTATCGATATTTTTAGTGTCTCTCTTATATAGCATGTTCAAGATGTGAAAGTTTGATTTTTTTAGTCCGAACTACAAAAAAGTTTGAACAGTATGGTTTGTAGCATGAATTCAAAAAGTTATAATTTTTTGTGGTTTGGTTAGTTTAAGACATTATATATAATGGTTCAAACTTAGGCTAAAACTCGTGCATCTTTACATCGGTTTCTAATGGGTTCATGGTTTAACTCACATGACTCATGTGCCAAATGGTAGTGGCTTGACAACTTGGTCTTTACATTTTTAATGGGCAAAAGGAGTTGAGAAATAAAATTTCCCGAATTGTCGAGCTTAGAAGGGTTAACAAGGTGATGGCAAAAGGAGAATCATAAGGATGCAAATTTGGGCGTGGGGAAGAGGAGGGGGAGAGAGGGAGGGATTAGAAGTCGCAATTTGGATCATAACAAAAGAAAATGACTTAAAATTTATACGAAGTTATTGAGTTTGGTTGTATTATAAATACGGTTGGGTCATAATCAAGTTGATACGATTAACACGATTAATAAAATGATAGTTCTATTCACACATTCCTTTTTACTCTCTCCCTTTACCTTAAATTTTCTTATGACAAAAATACCCTCACATACAATGAAAAAAAATGACAATTATAACATATTTAATTATGAAATTTAATTTCATTAAAAAAAGAAACTAATTATATAGTTTTATCTCTGCACAAACCCCACATGTTATATCTTAAATTATAAATTGTTGCTATTTTAAAATTTATAAAAAGCTCTTTAATTTTCACCTTTCAATGATTATTTTAAAAGTTATATTGATATAATGTTAAATTTTCTTTGCTATTGATTGTATGACGATATGAAGGGATAGAGAAATAATACTATCTAAATAACAAATAAAATAAAATGGTGGTCTGAAAAGAAATTGAAGTGGACAAGAATTAATTATTTTATAAAATAGTTAAGGATAATCTTAGAATGTAGGGGTGTTTAAAAGGTAGATTTAGTTGTTTTAAATTTATGTGAAATATGTATTTAAAGAGCTGTGAAAAGTAAAATAAGAGTTTGCATGGAACAAACTCTTAATAAAATGGGTTGAGATTGAGTGACCTTCTAATCTAATAAGAATTGACACAAAATGACATGATTAATTATATGTACTATTTACAATCCAATTGTACATACATAATCTAAAATATAAATAAAGACATTTTTAAAAATACTAATAAAAGTTATACTTGTCAGTTACAATAGGGGTGAATTTAACTATTAAATTTAATATCCACGTGCCACACACGTGATTTGTTTCATCCAAACATCTAAGGGTGTTCAAAAAATCTGCCAAACCGTGAAAATTGTTCAATTCAAACTAAATCGTTAATTTTTTTTTGAATTATTAGGTGGTTTAGTCCGTTTTTTAATCTAATTTTTTTGAGCAGTTTAGTTTGTGGTTTGGATTTCCTAAATCGCACAATAATCCGCCTAAAAATGTACATATATAATTTTTAATTTTTAAAATATTTTTTATATTTATTTTAATTTTTATTAGTCATAATAAAGGTTTTACACTTACAAAATACACCCTATCATATTTTTGTTAGTTTGTATTAAAACTTTAAATGGTAAATTATTAGACATTTGTTATTTTTTAGTTATATTGTAAACTTGAATCTTATTTTTTACTTTTATTGATTAACAATTTTATAATTTTTGAATTATTAATTACTTTTATTGATTAATAATTTTATAATTTTTATGAATTATTAAAAACTTTTTTAGTCTTAAACCATCCAAACTGCTTATGAGTAATTTGGATCAATTTAATTTTTGTCAAAACCATCCAAAAGAAAAAAAATTATTTTTAATTTAGTTGGTGGTTTCTAAAAAAAACTGTCCAAACCGACGACGAATACTCATGCAAACATCTAATACTTCTCAATCAATTTAATAGCACTCTTAGACTTTTTAAAAGTTTAGGGACATTTTTGCTAAGAAGAAAAAGGATCAAATTGTAACCATATGTGTAGATTGGGGACAAAATGAACTACTTACTCAAATGAAAATTTCAAAATTACGAGTAAGGACGAATTTGTCAAGCCACCGAAATACAAGGGTTAGTCGGTGTTAGAAACCTAAACAAGCACTACGAATTATAACATTAATAAAAACTTGAGCAAAAAAAAAAAAATGAAAATTATATCATAAACATTACTTATATCACCTACCTTGCAAATTAATTAGTAATTTTCCGTAAATCAAATATTAGTAACGACTAATGAGAAGACTCAATAGTACGACGACAAAAAAAAAAAAAAAAACCTAGGAAAGATGCAATTGCAAAGAAAGTGCGTGTGACACACGCGTCGGAAGTGGAGAGAAGTAGGGCCCATAGTCCACGCAGTGACGGTGTGAGAGTTTGAGTGGAGAAGTGTATGCGCCCACCTTTTTGCATGCATTCGCTGCTCTCTCTCTCTCTCTCTCTTTTCTATCTTTTCTTTCATTTTCATCCTCTTCTCTCTCTCCCACACAAAATAAAAAACAAAGAAAAAAAAAAGTAAGAAAAACTCTCTCTCTCTCTCTCTCTCTCTCTCTCTCTCTCTGTCTGTCTCTCTCTCTCTCTCTAAACTCTGAAACTGCTGGTACAACTGATTCTTTTCTTCTCGTATGCTCTGAAATCCAAGCTATCATCATCGTCAGCGTTCACCTTCTTCGATTCTTCCGGTATTCAATCCAAATTCCTTTTGTTTAATTTAATTCCTTCAATTTTTCTCTTTTCATGTCCGATTTTTGTTTCTCAAGAATCGAGATTGTTCGTTTCTCGATTGGCGGTTAGTTTCTACCAACTTTTCTTTTCTTTATTTCCTTTATTCGATAAATTATGAGATTTTTGTTGCCAATTCGTTTGTATATCTAGTGTATGTTCTTTCTTCGATTGTTCAATTGCTGAATTTTGTCTGCTTTTTCAATGATTTTGCTGCGAAAAATGATGCTCTGAACTAAGATTTTTTCTATTTCTGGTCTCTCTCTCTCATCTGTTTTTGATGTGATTGTCGGTTTGGCTTATCAGAGCAAAGATAAAGTTCATAGCAAAGATAAAGTTCATAGTTTTATGCATTTTAACTCGGAGAAACTGCAAGTTGATAGTTTTATAGTCTATGGAAAAATAAATAAATGGATAAATAATCGTCTCTTTCATTTAAACTGATTTGAGTTATTAATTTTAATTTTATTATCATTAAAAATTCTCACAAAAAAAATCATAAATAGACGAACTGAACGATCCCAATATATACATAAAAAAAATCATCCTCTCCTTGTTTCTGCTGTTCTTGTTAACATTTTTAGCTTTGGATTTCTTTGTCATATATTTCAGGTGTTTCTGATCTTCTCTTGGTTCTTAGATTGAGCTTGTATTATATATTAGTATAGAACAAGTACTGTACTTGTAATTTTCTGTAATTGCTTATCTATGCTATTTTGCTTCCCCAAATGAATACTTAGAAGCTGGTATTTTAATTGTGGTTGTTCCGCATTGCACGTTAGTCTTTTCTAAAGAAACTTTTGCAACTGTTCTGTTGTATATTGGTTCCGCATTGCACGTTAGTCTTTTCTAAAGAAACTTTTGCAACTGTTCTGTTGTATATTGGTCGGTAGATTTTCATTTTCCCGCTTAGAAATAGAAATCTCTAGTAAAGTCTCTGAAGCTCGTCCTACTTGCTGAACTTTCTGGTGGGTGTTCGTTAGATTCTTTTGTAGAAGCTTTTGTCAAGAACCCCAAGAGGAGAAAGTTTAATCAACCAAGATGTCTTCTGAAGTATGCTATGATAATTATACTTGGGAATTTTACCCGTCATTTTTAACTTTTCTGTGGGCTTGATTTATTTATTTATTTATTTTTGTGTGGAATAAAGAACAAAATTCTATTCATCCAAGTGCTTTACGAAGAGGGTTCCTTTCTGTTACATATAATTCATTCATCCTCCACTAATTTTGACGTGTTTACAAACTGAATTATCAGGAAGGAGGTGATGTCCATGTCACATAGTGAGTGAGATATATAGCAGCCAGGGGTTAGAAAATGGGGGCGTCAACTTCTAGAATAGAAGAAGATAAAGCCCTGCAGCTATGTCGAGATCGGAAGAATTAGGCAAGCACTTGATGGCAGGTGCTCATTGGCAGCAGCTCATGTTACATATATTCAGTCACTAAAAAACACAGGACTGGTTCTTGGGAAATTTGCTGAGCCTGAGGCTCCAATTGAATCTTCATTGTATACTTCCACTAATGCAACACCGGAGCCTCTTACTTTAACTGAGAAGGCACTTTCTCAATTCTCATTCTCTTCTCCGTCTGTGTCACAACGCGTGGATGCAACAGAAACCTTTTCTCCTACACCTTCTCCTCCTAGCTCTAGTCGAATTCACACAAACTATATGAAATTTGGTGGCTTCACTTTCAAAAAGGTTGAAGAAAAACCATCCATACCCATTGTTGGGACGGTGACCTCCTCGAGTACCCCGCAGAATACCACACCACGATCTGCTAGTAGACCTGAAAACTCACCATTTGAAGATTCTTCCCTCCCTTCTGGAACTCCACCATGGGATTTCTTTGGTCTTTTCCATCCAATTGACCACCAGTTTTCTTTCCAAGATGGTAAGGGTGTAAACCAAGGGGGTGAGAGTTCTGATGATATAAGACGTCTAAGAGAAGAGGAGGGAATTCCAGAGCTGGAAGATGACGAAGAGAAGGGTTCTGTTCATGGAAAAGAAGGATCTGAGGATTCTGAAGATGAATTTGATGAGCCAGCCACAGTTTCTCTGGTTCGAAGTTTTGAAAATCGTAATAGAGTACATGATCACAGTGAAGTTGATACTTCAACTGCTGTGCCTTCTGCAGGAATTGCAACTTCAGAAACTGAGTTATTGAACGGCGAAAAAAGCCACTCTCCCGCCATGCCTTCTGCAGGAAGTGTAGCTTCAGAGACTGAGTTATTGAATGGGGAGAAAAGTAACTCCCCTGATTTATCGCCATTAAGGGCCACTGCATCAGCAGTATCAGTTGCATCTGAAACAAATAAAGCACAAGTAAAAGAGGGTTGCATAGAAAACAAGGTTATCCCCAAGGACTTCTTTTCAAGTATAAAAGATATTGAGTTTCTATTTATAAAAGCTTCTGAATCGGGTAAAGAAGTTCCAAGAATGCTTGAAGCCAATAAGTTGCACTTTCGTCCAATATTTCCAGGGAAACAAAGTAAGATTCTTCATCTCTCTGTATCTCTCTCTCCCTCCCTTCCTCCCATGCCACAATGCAACTTTAGACCAGGGGAAGGCTTTGAGTTTTGTTCAGTTGTTTCTTGAAGATTATCAGCTCAAATACACGTGTTAAATATATGCTGGAAAATGAGATTTGATAATGATATTTATGAGAATATTCCGCAATTTTTATCAACCTCATGTAGAAGTTGTACCAATATCTCAATTTCAATGTAAAAGTTGTTTCCTTACACTCCACAGTTTGCTAATTTCAAAACAAATAAAATACAGCTTCTTAGAGGGGCTCACGGCTCAAGTGATGGCACATTTAGTCTTCATGACTATGAAATAGTTGATCTTTTAAGGATTTTAGAGAAGTTTCTTCTTTCATGCTTTCTTTCTTTTTTTTTTTCTCCCCTATAAACACCTAGAAGGGTTTTTGTTTTTATTTTTTATTTTATTTTTGTATTTCTACGTGAATGATAAAAATAAGAGAACCCTCCATTGTATCAGGTGGTTCAACAGCATCTACACTTCTGAAAGCTTGTTTGTCTTGCGGAGAAGATCCAAGTCAGGTTCAAGAAGGTAGCGTCCTTGTATATGTGCTTTCTAATTTGTTCTGCACAATGTAGATTTGAATGGTTGTGATTTTGGGTGTGTATGGCTTACATCTGATTAGCAAAAGATTCTCAGATCAATAACTTATCCCCTGTTTAATAACCATTTCTTATCTTAATTATACTTTAGACACGTATGCATGAAAAATACCTGAAAAAATGAATGTGCTATTTCTTCTTGATGTTTTCAAAAGGCTTCTAGTCACATAAGGTTTTTTGTATTTCGTCTTGACAAGAAAGGGTATGGACTTGGCATTTTTGAAGTGGAATTGGAAGAGCTGAGGTATTAAGTTTAGTTTTGCATAGACCATGTTCAAATCCTCAATAAATATTGCTGGAAATCTGATAGAACCTGGAACACAGAGGAAAACAAAACTGAAATTATATTGAGTCTCAAAAACTGGAATGAATACAGGAAAATAAAGATAGTTCTTGAGTTTTCGAGAGGCTCAAGTCTCTCCCAAGAGTCACACTCCACAATCACACTCCAAAACATGACCCTATCCTCCTCTCTCACTCTCCCTTTATTTTGTTACGTCACTAACTATTCTCACGACACAGAAGCACAAATCCCCATGACATTAGCTAATTCCCCAAAATAGCCCTCCAGTACCAAGTAAAAAGCTAACTCACGTGCTTAGGGGCTTAACAAAATACAGGAAATCTGATTAGGGGCTTAACAAAATCTTCAATATTCAGCTGAATTACTGCTTTCTGCAGAATGCTGCGTGGATATTTTAATCAATTTAACAAAAAGATTAAATTTTAAAATGATTACATATCAAGCATTATGCTTTGTGTTTCGTATATTGCTAAAAAAGCGTACTTTTTTACCTTTCCTCTTTTACTGTCATTGCACTATTAGTATGCAAAAAGTCTAGTAACATTTCTATCCAGTTCCACTGAAGCGTCGTCCAAGCTACTAAGCACACTCCTATATTCAATAACTGAATTGTAGAGTATCTCCTGCTTAACTATAATTCTTAAACAGAGCATCTTGTTATCTCAGCCATAATTTGGCTGATTATTATTATTATTATTATTTTTTATTTTTTTTTTCTTGTCCATTGCAGAAGAACCTGCTCAAACAAATACTAAGTATCTAACTTGGCATAGGACAACATCATCTCGATCATCTTCATCTAGGAATCCTTTAGGAGCAAACTCAAAGGACGATATCGAGGAGTTAACTGGTAGTGTTTTTGAAAATATCTGCATGATCTCAGGAAGTCATGCCTCAACGTTGGATAGGTTATATGCATGGGAGAGAAAACTCTACGATGAAGTGAAGGTACTGTCAATCCACTAACAACCTCACCATTACTTTTGTCATAATTACGTTGGTATGATTAACATTGTTATTCTTTTATGATTTATTAATTTTTATTCTATTGAAAAAAAAAAATCTATTCAATCTGAGCTGCAAATAATTTCCTTTGCTCTTGACCTACTTTGTAGCATTTTAGTTGAGGGAAAAAACCATTATGGTACCTTGTAGCTTAGCATTTTATCAAATTGGTGCCCTCTTATTCAGCAAATCTCATTGCAGTACCCTGTAACATTTTAATTGAGGGTAAATATCTTTTCTTTTTAATTTATTTTGTAAAATAGTGAGGTACTCGAATGAGGTTATCAAAACACCAGGATACCAATATGATAAAGTGTTAAACTACATAGTACAAAAATGATCTTTTAATGTCCATCTTTTTATCGGTTTTGATGTTGACGTCTTTTGATCTTTGTACTTCCTATTTCCTAATGTTTACGAAGGTCAAAGGTCACCTCTGGTCATATTTGGTTTTCCAAGAATCACTCACATAAACAAATTATTTCGAGGAACCTTGGAAATATGGAATCTAATCTCACTTTGGAGGTAGTTAAAAGATTGTTAATATAGTTTATAGAAAGAGAAAACTGAAGCAAATATACTTTACCAACAAGTTAGATACATGTGCAGTGATTATGTGCGAGTGGTGATTAAAAGCAAAAAAAGATCAATAACGTCCAACTCTAGACCTGAGGAGAAATAAGGGACGTGGCCCTAATTTTCATGTACTTTTGCAGAAAGTTCTTGCACTAAAGATGCATACAAGATCAATAGTGGCAATAACAATGTACTAGTATGTGCCTTGGAATAAGAGGCCTTAAAAAGGCTTTTCCATTGCTCGTTACATAACTATGGTTTTTGTTTATTGGAGAAAATATCAAACTTCATTTACGTGTTTACTTGAGATTTTTATTCTGAAAGTCACATGTCACTTTTACTAGAACACACATTTTGTAAATATTTTTATGCAATCCTAATCTAAGTTGCTACTTATAGGTAGGCAGTAGGCTATATCTTCGTTGTTGTAGTATATTTCATTGGTACATGAGATTTCCCTGTCATTGATTTCAATAACTTCATGAAATTCCTCATATTAGGCTAGTGAGATTGTCAGAAGGGAGTATGATGCCAAGTGTAGGACTTTAAGGCAGCTAGAATCAAATGGGGAAAGTTCTCAGAAAATTGATAAAACTCGTGCTTGTGTCAAAGATCTGCATTCAAGAATTAGAATTGCTATTCACAGAATTGATTCTATATCAAAGAGGATTGAGGAATTACGGGACAAAGAGCTTCAGCCACAACTTGAGGAGTTGATTGAGGGGTATGTATTTGATGATTTCACTTTTACTCACTGGTTGGTTCTCGCTTCACGTGTCCTATTTTGTTGTGGAGAATCTTAGAATTATTTTCAAAGCATATCTAAATGCAGCTAGAAACATTTGGTTTATAATCTGTCTAATGCAAGAAACCCCTTCGACCTGAGACTATTGATAGGTGGTCTGACAGATGTTCTTGGGATGATTTTAGGCGTGGCGTTTTCTCTGTGGCTATACCATCTTGTGGTTTCTAGAAATTTAGAGCCTGATTTAGAAAAAAACAAATGATAAAAATAAAACAAAATAAGAAATATTGGTGCACTAACTATATTCCATGGATTTTGAATAACTGAGACTGATTTTCTTTAGGATTTAGAAAACCTGTTAAAAGTTAAGATAATCTTGGGAATGAGCAACTATGGTGATACAATTAGGAGTTATTTTCATGTGTTGCATGTGGTGTTTATAAATATAGTAAATTCTAGGAACACCAACTGAAATCCCAACTCTTGTCTACCAATTGATGTGGCATGTGAGTTATCATCTCTTTATTGGTAGATGCAATCTCTTATCATAAGTTGATGTGGCAAAAAATGACAACTCATTACCACATTAATTGGTATACAAGAGTTGGTGTCTCTAGCATTATTCTCATAAATATATGTGTACTTTAGTAGGGATGTTAATTTTCTGAGTATATTTCTTTTAACTTCATCTGCTTTACTCTCTGTGGAAATGGTAGGTTAAGTCGTATGTGGGAGGTCATGTTTGAATGCCACAAGCTTCAGTTCCACATCATTTCTATCGCATTTAACAATGGCAACACCAAAATCTCCATGCACTCAGAATCACGTAGGCAGATTACTGTCCGTCTTGAAAATGAACTTCGCTCTCTTGCATCAAGTTTCCTCAAGTGGATTGGCGCTCAAAAGTCCTATTTCCAGGCATTAAATGCCTGGCTCTTCAAATGTGCCCCCAACAATGAAAAGTCCTACAAGAGAAAAAGGAGACAACCAGCCCCAAAATTGAGAAACTATGGTCCTCCGATATATGTGATCTGTGATGTCTGGTTGGAAAAGATCAATACATTGCCTGTAAAAGACGTAGCGGATTCCATGAAGGATTTAGCTGCTGAAACTGCCAGACTTTTACCACGTCAAGAAAAGAAAGATAGTAAGGGTGCAACTCTTTCCAATTTAACATCTTGGACTGCCGATAATAACAGTGAAACAGCAGTTAATGGACTGAGAGATGAAGCTTCAGAAGACTTCATTTCGAGGTTTGATCATTTCCGATCACGCTTGGTGGCATTTTTCGGAAAGTTGAATAACTTTGCAGCGTCTTCTGTCGAGATGCATACCGAACTAGACAAGGCCATCCAGGATGCTAAGCGTACTTACGAAAGATCGCAATCCCAACCCCGATCCCAATCTCAATCTCAAACTCAAGTTGTTTGATTGGGGAAGACAATCTTACACGTAGAAGTGGAATGCCTTGGCATCGTCACATAACAAATTCCATGGAAATTGTCGTCTGCATGGCCAAGAAACACAATAAATCTCAGGTACAAGGTCATTTGAGCATTGCATTTTGTGTATTGAGAGAGGAATAAAGGAAATTGGTATAAAGTTTTACGTTTAAGAATCAACTGGAAAATAAAGGAGTTGGCTTAAAGTAACTAATTTGGGTTTGATAATGGGGTGGTAATTGTAGTTTAAGGCTGTTAATTACAGGGGCCTGGTGAGAAAATGAAGATTTGTATGCAAATTGAGGGAGGAACTTGTACAGTGTCTTTTCTTTTTTTTTTTTTTTTGGGTAATCATAGGAACTCATATAAAGGCCCACCCCCTCGTTCTTATGTAATTATCAATAATTTATAATGCATTTGCAATAATGTTTTGTTTATTTGTCCTCTTTCTAGATATATTTTCTTGTATCTACATTTATTGTAATCCATAAACATATGCATGTGGTGAATATAAGATATATTTATCTTTGCTTGTGATTCATCAATTTTATTTTCTTTTAGCCTCCCTTTGGGCTTAAAGTGCACCTGGTGCATTTGCTACCTTTAGTCTTTTTTTTTTTTTCGCTCCCAAGTACCGGAAAAAGAAAACATTGCAAAAAATATTTCCCCCTTTTATTCTTGCTTCTAAATAGCTCCAAGGAGAGGGCATATGGCTTTTGAGGCCTCACTAGTTTCTTTGGGGGAAAGGGCGTTCATTGAACACTACCTAACGTCACAGAACTTTCCACCTAAGCAATTCCGTCCAAAAAAAGTTCTTAATGGAGGGGTAAAATTGAAGATGTCTCGTATATAGATTGGGAGGTACAAAAAATCTTGGATTATTTTATAATTACCTCTCAAATTATGTACTTTATTTTAAAATGTATCTTAATTTTGTTAAAAGGTTTCGAAACATCTGTTGATCTATAGAAAATAGGTTAAAATGTTCATTTTCTCTATTTCCGTCTATAAACAGTCACTTTAAAATATTAAAACTTTATTAAATTAAAAAAGGGCTTTTAATTCCCAAAAAAAGGATTTATTATTAAAAATTAATTAAATTTTCAGAAAAAGAAACCTGAAATTCAACTTAAATAATCTGAAATTATTTTTCAAAACCCCACCCAACTTCTGAACACCAAATCAACTTCCAGCCCGTTCTCTCGACGGCGATTGCCATTTCTCCCAACGACGATCAAGCTTGCTTGCTCCATTGCACCCACGAGATGCTGGATACCGGACTCTGGCTATAGCGCAATCAACGGCTGAGTAACAATGTCAGATCGTCGATGCTCAAAAGCCCCGTCTCCGACTCAAGAAATCGCTCCTCGTCGCCGTCATTAACACTACCTTCGTACTAGATCTGGGCTTGGGGTCGCTGCGATGAGGCTATGAGGCGAGGCTTGGGTTGCGAGGTGGTGGAGGGGCTGGGTCAGGGTCGAAGGGCCTTGAATGGCATTAGATCTGATCTTCTTCTTCAGATTTGGTTGCACAAGCTGTTCAATGGTCGCACCACAACTACCAAAGCTTCAAATGGTTGAGACGTCAGATTCAACTCCCTCAAGCATAAACTAAAGCGTAAATTTGCCCAACGCAAAGCGGAAGAAAAAAAGAACAGGATGGAATTTGCTCTGTGAATAATTATTGAATAAAAGACTTGAACGTGTTTTGAGTGTGTGATGGTAGACTTTTGAAAAAAGAAGAAGACAATTTTTTAGTCTCTATTCGAATTTTTAATTTAAGTTTAGATGTGACTGTTTTAAGAGTTTTTTATTAAAAGAAAAAGAGAAATATGTCAAGATTTAAGATGAATTAAAATTAATAGACTAATAGTTTACATAAGTTAATAAATAGGCTAAATGATTATTTTCGTCAATAATTTGTCTGATTATGAACCATACCTTGACAAGTTATGGATGGTTTTTGTCTATAACTTATCTGGTTATGAACCATAACTTAACAAGTTTGTCCATAACTTATTTGGTTATGAACCATAACTTGACAAGTTATGGCCTATTAATTTTTATAATTAAAAATTAGCGTATATACTTTCTTAAGCTTTTCATATTGACATATTTTCTACTATTTTTATTTTTTATTTTAATAAAAAAGTGAGATATAACTGTTTTTAATTATTTTTTATTATAATAAAATTTAAATTTTAAACTCAAATTGCTGAAATAAACATATTATTTCCTATTAGGTTTTCAAATTTTTGAAAGAAATTAGTTGCTTTGTTTAATTTTTGAATTTTTTAAAACTTAAATTTTCTTATTTTATTTTTTAATAAAATAATCAAGTCTACTGATCTAATTAGAATTTAGTAGCTTTAATTAATCTTTAATAACACCCCACAAACACGTTTATACAAGAAATTTTTAATAAACGCTCTTTAAAAATATATAAATTTTAATTTTTACCTTTTATTTTTATAGGAGAAATGACTTATAATTTGTATCTATTTGATTTTTACGTTTTAAAAAGATATTAATTAAAAATAAAAAATAAAAATAAAAATTTATGCATTTTTAAAAATAAATTTAATACATTTTTTATATAATAATATTATAATATATATTATATAATAATATATAAATACAAGTATAGTTTAGGAGGATCTGTAAAATCTATCAAATATGTGTAAGTGCACGTGCGCGTTAGCGCCATCAATGTGAGTCGGTCGACATTAAATTTTAGAGTGCGTTTATTTACATAATTTAAGCTATGACTTGAGTTATGTATGTGAAAAAATACTATAGTAAAAATGAATTTAAATTTATATGAGAGAAAATACTGTAGTAATATGATTTGAGTTATGATTTGAGAGAACACACCTTTAGGCCTCGTTTGTTTTGCAGATTTGAGTTTTCAGTTCGAGTTGAGATGTGACATTTTCTTAGAGTTTTTAATTGTAGCAGAAAAAATTAAATGTGACACTTTTTAGAGCTTTTAACTGTAGAAACTTAGGCTCCGTTCATTTCACCGATTCGAGTTTTGTTATAGTAAAAAACTCTTAGAAACAGTCAAATCTAATTTTTTTACTACAGTAACAAGCTATCACATAAAGTCACATTTCAAATCGAATCAACGAACTAAATGAGCCCTTAAAATTAAGAACTCAAATCGGTAAAATAAACGAAACTTTAGTTTCTTAACAAGCCTTAGTTCCTTAACAAGTGTCATGTTACTAGTTTCAAATCGCCGTACACACACGTTGCATTGCTTGTAAAAATAAAAAAATAAAAAAACTCCTGCACTTTTATTTTCGGTCCTTTTTTTTTTAAAGAAGAAAATGGCAGTGTACAACATAGATTATAGCCACAATTCTTTGTTGTAGAAGCCAAAATTAAGGTCGATATTCATATTTTGTACTACATCTTGCTACCACTATTTGTTTTTTAGAACACTAGCAAATTAATCAAATCACAACCTAAAAAAAAACACAATGACCACTAGTTCAAGATTACTTCCCCAATCGACATCAATAAAACCTTCTAGATTGAGTGTTGCAAGCTCGAATCGAAGATTGAAAGTATAACGAGTCCCTTACAAATATCTACAAATTCTCTTACAAGTTGACCACTGATTTATTATAAAGGCTTGCAAAAATTGAGTTAGCTTGTTCACAACAAAGATGGCAATGTTTGGCTAATCATCGTCGAGTGCCTCGGAGCATACTAAAAGATTTTTCTATAAAGAGAAGATGACCAGAGAAGGAACCGTCACTAGAAGGAACCATACTAAAAGAGTTTCATAGTCATTGGATTAGGTTTCATGATTTGTATATGTTTATTTTAATTAGGCAATAAATTTAGGTGCAACAATTAATATTGTCTATTTACAAAAAAAAAAAAAAAAAAAAAAATCAATATTGTTTGTGTCAGCTTCAAAATTCCCAAAACTAGTTCACAACAACAAAATGCGCACCAAGGCTCCCGGGATTAGGGTTGGCCCTCAAATCTGAGTCATCTAATTTATGCTCAAATGTTGATCTGCTATTGGTCTTAGGTCAAAAGGTAAAGTAATAAACAGTTATGTCTGGTCCATATATGAATCTACTAGTTAATGTACAATTCAAAATGCATTATTTTATTAATGTAATGTGTTACACACCTACCAAGCATACCACACAACAATCTCTAGATCGTTTAAAAAATGACAATTATTTTATCAATCTGACGTGTCACATCTCTAGGGTTCTGGTGATCTCCTAACCGTAGTTAAAAAGTGATAACACTAGTCAAGTCCTAGTTGGTTTATGGTTCCAAATCCTAGTTGGTTTTTTGAGTGCCTATATGTAATGTAGAGGAAACCTAAAGTAAGAAGGCGTTAATACTCTCAAGTCACCTTGAGAGAAAAGTTTCCCACCTTTTAAGGTATGTTTGTTTCATGCATTTAAAGCTGTGACTTTAATTCTGTTACAGTGTTTTTCTCTTATAAAAAATTAAAATTTTAACTGTCAAAATTAAGAATCACTGGTTTGAACACATGAACCAAACGAGCCATCAATAACTAACTTTTTACGGCTTACCTTTCAATTATAAAAAAAAACTTTTCGCAGCTTGGAAGTGTTCAAGCCTTCAAGGGTTAAAGATTATTGAAGAATTCAACATCTATTCGAAGATTTGAGAAGATACCTAAACACTAATCAACCCGAAGAAGAAAGATAAAGAAAGAAGAAGTGGTGGAACATTAATTAGTTAGAGACTATTGTAGATTGTCGATTATGTATAACAAAAATCTGAAATATAAAGGCTTATTCTAACATGGGAAAGTAAAAATTGCTCATGAGAAATCATAATATCACATTCTAGCCAAGAATATGACAAGATGGATTAAGATTGAGGAATCTCAATATCCCATATCGCTAAGGGAATGTCACAACTAAAAGTTGATAAAATTGGAAATATATGTCATGACAAGTTTTGTAGAGTTTTTACTTATGATTTTGGTCGGTAGAAGAAGAGAAATACAAATTGTGTCTTTTTAATTATTATTCATAACTATATTTTAAAAGAGCTTAAAATGGACCAGAATGGTTGTTAAACTTTTTAATAAGCAATAAAAATATAATAAAATTTTATTGAAATTCTGGTATAAATTTTAAAATCTATTTCAGAAGAATTTTTTTTCACTGGAAGCTTTTCTGGAGTGTTAAAGCTTTCTTGACATATCATACAAAACACTTTCAAATGCATCTTTTGGGGATATGAAGCCAAATACACCTTCTAGAAGGGTTTGCCAAATATGCCCTCAAAATAAGACGAGACCTTTTGATAGAAAAGTCCTCTAGAACAAAATTGTATGATAAGTCTAAAACGAATAATATCATATGAAGCAATATGAAGCAGAGATGTGGGTATTATTAAAGTTAAAGTAGTTTGGCTACAAATTGTTT